GATTCGGCTTCCTTTGTTTTAGTTTTATCCCAAAAAAGTTAAACAGTAAAATCTCATTATCCCTAAAATATTATTTTATATTTTTTAATTTCTTTTCAACACCCCTAAATATTTTTTTTAGAAATTGCAAAGACACTCCGGCCATCCTCCGGCAGTGGTGGTCGACTGTCCGTATTTGAGGATAGATTAGGGGTATTTTTGTTAACTTTTAATGTTTTATTATAGGGGTATTTTGTAAATAAACAAACATAAGGGATATTTTATTAATTTGTAAATCCTACAGCGTAATACCCGCCCAATTCAACTTTTTTTTAATTTTTTTCAAAACTTTTTTCCCAAAAACGCAAAAATGTGAACCAACCGGAACCGAAATAAAGAAAATTATTGAGGAAACATGTTACTAACCAATCCAAAGCCACTGAGGATAAGAAAATTTAAGTAACCAATCAAAATGCGAGGAAATCTTAATGGATAGGAAGGAGGGAAAAGCCAAAATGAGACCACAACAGAGTTACAAACAGATAAAATATCAAACCAAAAGTAAACGAAACATTTGGTTTTGTTTGGATCAATAGAAAATACTAAGGAAGTTAATAAAACGAGTAATACTACACATACATTATTTTCATATAACATTATGTGGTAAGATATGATTGGCTAATTTAAAGTTAAAATTAAACTTTCACCCAATCACATTTTGCCACATAATATTGTATGAGAAATGTTGTATGGGAATGATGTATGTGTAGTATTATTCTAATAAAACTGATGACTTTTCAATTAATTAATTAGAAGTTAAAATTGATGATAGATGCCGTTAAGTTATTAATTTGATTAGACACCCTCCATTATAAGGCACTAATGGTTATTTTAATTTTCAGTGTCAGTGTTCGCCTTCAAATTGGTAGACTACGTTGTAATGCGTCTTATCATCACATACTTCACCGAAACAATTCGTTGTCGTATCGTGAAAGCTGTAGTATTGACGAGCATTCAGGAGGAACTACCAAAATGTTTTAAAATTGTTGCGGTCTACATGTCAAAATCCCGCCTTGGTCATATAAAAGTCATAATCTTTTCAGCTATTTCCTTCACTTTGGTAAGTTTGTTAATTTAGCATTAACTTAAAAAAATATGGCTTAATTTCCCCTCTAATCCTTTACATTATTACATTTTTGTATTTCATCTTCATATTGTCTAAGCCATATTATAGTCAACCTCCATATGTTTGGCAAAATAAAAAACCGCACGTTGGTATAAAAAAATTTGTACCTAATCCCCATGTTTGTTATATCTAAAGAAATCTATTAAATTTAGAAATAACTTTATACCCTTCAATATAAGTTTAACAACTTAAATATTACCCACAAATTCATCGATTTATACTTAAACTGAAATCTTTTCAAAATATTTAATAAAACATACAAATTTCAAAAACTAACAAAAAATGCCCCAAAATTCAAAACGCCAAATGCTATGTTCTGGCAGTACTCGAGGCCCAAATGGCCCTTGTGGCTAGAATGGCTTCCTTTGATCATTATAAGGCCTAGAATGGCCTCAGGATATATCACGAGGCAGGAAATGGCCTTCTAGGCACCGCTAATGGCTTTACGTTGCTATTGAGGCCATGTTAGGTTTTAATATTAAATAATAATTCTTTGAATTATAGAGGGCTTGACAAAATTGTCATTATAGAGTCCTACACTAACAGTTAAGAAGAAGAGAAGAAGTTTGGCAGGATTTGCAATGTGTCACAAGTCCAATTAGTAAAGCGTTTTTTAAGTACGATCCCCATGTGGACTACCATTCTTGTGGTTGGTTTGGTATTATCAAGAGGCAACACCTTTTTTCCTTAGCAGGGAAACAACATGCAGTCCTCAGAGTTTTCAATCTCTTTATTCGTAATTAAAAGTATATCATGCAGAATAGGCTCCTATCTGTTAAAGTTATTAATCCACTCAAAATGGATACCAAATGCTAAAAAGAAAATGGTTATACAAGTTGGAATTTGGGGTGGAATTGTTTCATCTATACTTTGCTCTTCCGTTGGATGGCAAGTTGAGCATCGCAGGGCGACAATGATTCGAAATAATGGATTATCAAACATTAAGCCTGATAAAACTATACCCATGAGTATATTCTAACTTTCACCTCAATTCTTTTTGTTAGGTCTCACGAAATGGCTTATTGCAACTGGACTCGATGAATTCAGCGTTGATCAGTTATAGGATCCATGGAAAGAGTATGTATCCGAAATTAATGAGTTCGTTATTGGACTTGGAAATTTCCTTAGCTTGCTTTTTATTTAAGTAAACAAAAGCTTGTTTGGTGACACCTTGAGCAATAGTCAGCTAGACAAATACTACCACCGGCAAACCATTGTTAGTTATGTCAATATGCTTTACTTTTTTTCCATTATATACATCGTCTACGGATCTAGGTACCAAAATATAAGTGGTGAGAACTCACGTAGGTTGAAACCGGGAGAAGCACGGCGCAAATATTTTGAAGAAGTAAAAGGTTTAATTTCATCTCTCCCTTCCACGAGATATGAAAGTATTCCATACCAAAATAGTCATTGGCAACTATTAAAAACACCCACACAATAAGACACCGTTTACTGAGGAAGTCAACTGAATAGTATAGTAGTAATAGTTGTTTTTATATTGTTTCACAAGGGCATTGGGATATGGTTATTTGTAAACTATTATATCCATATAATTGTTCTAAAGTCAATCTGTGTTTATTTACCATTTGCCCTTTTTTTTGTTTTTTGGTGTCCAAAGAAGATGATAAATTATTCATACACCAGCCGGAAAGTAGCCGCTGCACATGACCATTGGAATGGTCATGCAAGCAGGAATGCTATATTGTTGAGGCTTAAGCAAGTGAAAACTTTGAACTCATTGTATGATACAATTTTTATCATCCAATTTTACCACCACAACACAACCAACAAACCATATATTTCAAAGGCAATTTGTCTACTTCAATATCAAAATCCAATAAAAAACATGAAGCATGAAATTAATGGGAGCACAATCAAGTTTTTCAACAAAGTATACATTATATATGCCCGAGCCGGGCCACCTCGGGCCATATTTGTTTCACATCCCTAATAATTTTGAGTAATTAAATTAATATATTTTAATAGTTAAAATTCCATATAATTCATATAATTACTAGATATTTAAAAAAATTAAAATTCAAAAAGGTTTATATAATATTGAGGTTGGTGAGGGAAATTGATAGGTATGATGGGCCCATTTATGAATTCAAAAACATGTCCATGTTTTCCAAAAACAAAGGCTTAATTCTTTCTTTACAAATGGCCTTTACAATTTTGTTGGGTTGAAAACAAGAATAATATTATACTTATAAAGTTTTTCATATAAAATGATGTATCAAAATATGATTGAATAAATTAATATAAAAATCATTCACTATTATTTAATATGCATTTATTAAATTGATTTTTTTTTCTATTAATTCAATCATTCATATTTTGACACATCAATTTGTATAAAAAACTTTATATAAAGTTTTTATAAGCGTAGTATTTACTTTAAAAATAACCACAAGATAGAAAAACAAAACTCATTCAGCTAACAGCTATTATTTTTCATAAAATATGAACCACATTTAATACTTACTTCGACAAAGAGTGTAAACAACGTTAATATTAAAATATATATAGTTTTATCACATGGGTTGTATATCTATGTGCATTGTTGCATGTCATGCGTGTGTAGACTTTTTAATTAGATTTTGTAGTAAAATTACATGACCCTACGATATGAATTTTCTTATATTTATTGATATAGTATATGTATGAGATATCGGTGTTTCCAGTTTGGATTGCATTGAGTTAATAGAAGTGTTTATTTTAAGTGTAAAAATTTCAAAATTACTTTTATTTTATTTTATAAATTTGATTTGAATTATTTTTGTGTATTAAAGTTCTTTTTGATAAATTAATAGTAGAAAATATTTTATAAATAATTAACAAACTTGATATACAAGACTTAGTATACGACGATGTATAAATAATATTACGGGAAAAAGTTATTTAAAACATATTGAGACCATACTACATAACTCCATTAACTGAATAGTAGTAATTGTTGTTTTTAATAGGGCACTGGGATATGCTTATTTGTAGATTATTATAGAATTGTTTTTGAAATACCACCTTACCCTTATAAAGTTATTATTATGTTTATTGACTATTTTGCCCTTTTTTGTGTTGTCCAAACAGGATGATAAATGATTCGTGCACAATCCAGCAAGTAGCTGTTGGACATGCAGGCTGCAATGCTATATAAGTTAGGCCTAAACTTTGTACCAGTTTAAAAATCATTAAAATGCCTAAGCTAGTTTTCAAATTGTCCAACACAATATTTTTTTTAAAGGTTATTTCATAATATATCAAGATGCTAATATAGGAAAATATCTAATTTTTAGGTTATTCAATAACATAAATGAGGGTTTAGTTAGTATTAAGAAAAAATGTGGATCGTATTGATCTACCGCTTATAGAAACTTGGTTTTCATGGGGGCAATTTTATAATTTTCTTTTTTAGTATAGGGGTATTATTGTAATCTTATAATTGATATATAAGTTTTATTTGAGAGATTTGTGCAGTAAGAGATTGAAAAATGCTGAGTTGAACAAAGCTTCAACTTGGTGTGAACAAAACTTGAAACTTAAAGGGAGACTGTGAGATGGAATGATGAAGATCTAAAAGGTGAGAAACTGAGATCATTTTTATTTTGATCTCTTTATTTGGTGAAATCAAATACTGGCTTCTGTAGTCATAACCATTTTCGATGAATCACATAAAATTGTTTGTGTATTGTACTGTGGTTGTTGTTTCCTTGTTGGATAAAAATATTATATAATAAATTAAATAGAGACAAGATAAAGTAAGATCACAGCTGGAAAAATTATTTCAATCATCAAATCCAACAAGCTTTTGTACATCGACAAAGCATGGCACTACTAAAATTTCAACAATCAAACGCAACAAGCTTTTGTACAAGTGCAATGAAGCATGCACTTATTTCTGCATTCAGGGATGAAGTGATTAACCAATTTTCCTCCCATATTTGCTGTATTGTACACTTAAACCAAGATGTGTCATTAGAAGACGAACATGAGTGAGCAGCTCTCCACCTTTCCTAAGTTGGTAACCATGATCTTTCCAATCACACTGGTTTGCAGCATATGTCAACATTTCCACCCACACTTCTGTTATCATTTTCCATTTTTTTTCCTCATTCCAACCATCCTCATATTGAAGTGATTGCAATTGTTTAGCAAGCTTGCACCCCTCCACCAGCACTGACATATCTTCTGATTTTATATTATCGATGTTGTCTTCAAGTAAAATCTTGCAATCTTCTACTCTTTGGATTGATGTAGAACTCGCTTTCGATGATTCAATGAACCTCCTTACCATGACACAGGTTTTTCTAAACCTTAACTCACCATTTCCTTTAGGCATCATGTAGGGACATGCCACAAGAAGATACAACATGTAATCAGACAAGCGTTTGCCAAATTTGCTAGTTTGATGAAAATTATTATCGGCATCTTCATGTTTATCAAAATCTTCGTAATAACAAAGATCAGTTGCTATATGCCAAAGGAGAAGGCTGTGATCCAATTCCACCTCGTTAATGCACCAATTAAATTCTTGAAAATTATACCTTTCTTGAAGCCATAATCACCTCTTTGATGCAATATTTTCTCCAGTAAATGAGTGTCGCAAAAATGATCATCATGCAGTTTATATTCGTCGATTTTCTCTGAGAGCTCCTTGAAAATCATCTTTTGTAAATCAACACTCACATCTTCCCAACTTAAGTTCAGATGAATCGTTAACCGTTTCCCGATGAAGAAGAAATTCTGGACCCTCATATATTTGGCTGGCTCCTCTTTGAAGCAACAACTTAAAAGGTTGAATTGTCCCATGACCTTCGACCACCTCTTGCGATTGCCAAAAACTGACATTGGTTGTGCTTTCTTTTTTTTAATTAAACGAATAAGTGTTGCCCAATCAGTTGAATAAAGTTCGACGACGGCAAGAATTTCAAGAAGAAAAGCCACAGCTAGAAGTGAGAAAGTTATTAAGGTGTCAACCAGAAAGAAATCATCAAACTGAATGTAAAGTGGGAACAAAATTAATGAGAAAGAAGAGCAAAAGAAGCTGATGCAACGGAGAAAGATTCCTAATCGAGAATAGGCAACAATAGCCTTCGTGTAGAGAACATCATACATGATCCCAAGCTCAATTGCTACCAAACTGAAAGCGTCTTCAGCCAACTTTCCGCTAAAGATCTTGTTACTTATCAACAATTCATTGTCATCAAGAATAAGACCCGAAAACAAATTTGCAAAACTCTTGAACAGAAAAAAAGCTTCAAAGATTTGATGTGATTCATCCTTTACTGCTTCCCTCTCAATATCAATTTCCTCCCCCTCTAGTTTTTTCTCCATATCTTGTTTTGTGATTTTAACAAGATCTGGAAACGGATCAGGATTTGAGAGCAAAGACTCTTTAAAACGCTCTGTGCTTGAAGACCAAAGTACATAAACTCTCTCTCCATATTTAATAATTCCGGAAATAAATATTGGAACGGATATATATGCTCTGAAAGTAAACATGCTGCTCAAGGTTATTGCAAAGAGATAAAACACTCCCCCGACGTTCGCAATGAACATAAAAAAGGTCCTCGACCACAAATCATTGTCTTCTAAAGAGTAAGCTGAGATAGTGTCTGGACCAGCACGGTGTAGGAGAAGGAAAGGTGACCACAATATGCTGAGTTTTTTGTTTCCTTCCACAAAATCTATATACTCTTCACAATATGTTTTATCCTTATAAATGCCACAGTCTACTTCACCATATTCTTCGTATTTTCCAAGGTTGCCGAGGGCAACAGTTGCCATCCAATTTGCTCCTAAATATGCTGACCAGACAAGGAGTCTTATCCAATTTCTAACAATAAATTTTCTTCGAAAGCCAAATATGATGAGAATGATTTGTAAAAAAAGGCCAACTAAAATGAATGCTTGAACTTCCAATCTTAACAATGCTTTTTCTACGTACTCATGACCTTGCTTCTCCACAACTACTTCCATCTCAAAGATGAAATTATCTGCAAGCAAAAATTAATTAAAAAAAGAACAATTTGTTTACCATGTATATTTGATACAACATAAAACTTAATACTATAATTTAAGAATGACAACTTAATAAATAAATTAAATAAGCTATTCGATAAGGATTCTTAGATGTATTATTTAAGTTCGAATCCCTCTTCAGGTGTTAATGGGGTAGTCATGAGACCCGACAGATAATTCTAAGGTCTCTGAAAGATTAGTTAAAGTACGCCCAAAATACCCTCGATCATAAAAGAAAAAAAAAAATATATATATATATATATATGAAACAATACCACGTTAGTTTGTATAAGAGAAAATGAAATTAAACGTTTATAACACTCTACCCATGAATTAAATTTACGGCGGCGGCACCACCATCTTGTTTGCAGACACTTTCTTTCCTAGGTCTAGAGATTGTGTGTGTGCCTGCCGCCAATTAATATTACATCTAGGGTATTTTTTAAAGTAAAAAGATGAAGTGGTACAGAATTGGAATTGAGAAAGAAGATAAAGAAAATAAATAAATAATAATAGTATTTTAACTCTATTGAAATTAATTTTGTTTAATAATTATTAATTTATGTTATGTATCTAAGATTTGAAAATAAAAAAATGGATTAAGATAAAAAAGATTATTCAATAATTTTCAAAAGCAATAGTCAATCCTACTATTTTAGAATAAGTATTAATAAAAGAATTAATATAAATTTAAATAACTAATTTTAAATAATTAATGATTATTAATTATCTGTTAGTTATTATTTAATGAATATAAAATTAATTCAAAACGCAATTAAATTTATTTAAAGTTCTGAATTTAAATTGTTGTTTATGACAACTACATTTTCATTTTCTTATTTTCAAAATTTGTTGTAGAAACCCATGTCAACACGTTTTTATTTTCTCAGTTTTAAGATATTGTTTTCAGACAAATATATCAAATGCATTTTTATTTTCGGCATATCATCATTTTCAATTTTTTCATAAAACATAAAACGGATTCATAAAACACACCCTAAACTTTGTCATGAGCATAAAAGTACACACCCTAAGAAGGTTTAAGGGTTGAGACACCAAAATAAAAAAATAAATAAAAGTTATTATCTGTCCCCACCCCTAAGGTTTATCTTATTCTATCCCAAGCCGCCTTTTTTTTTTTTTTTTTTTTTTTCTACATATGTTGTACTCAGGGCGGACCCAGGCCCCTTGAGGGTAGGCCCAGGCCTGCCCTCAACTTTAAGAAAAATTTGAAAGTTTTTTGAAAGGTTAAAAAAAAAAAAAAAATTAAACAGTTAAAAAATTAAAAAGTTAGGTTTTGTCTTTTATATAAGTTTTTCTTCCCCAATTCCAACTTCTCTTTTACATGCGGATCTAGATTTGGACTGATTGTAATCCATATTTTTATAAACTTTCGTGTACTTTACTTTTGTTAGAATTGTGATTAAGCCTCAATTTGTGTAGAATATTTTAGTGGATTTGTGGTTGTTGTAAATGATAATCCTATTTTTTCCTATGATTTTGCATTGAATTTCGATAAGATTTAGGATACTTCTTATACAATTTGGGTCATAATTGTTACTAATTTATAATTTGTCTTTACAGGCCTAAACAATGATTTTGAGCATAATTACAGTTTTGAAAGTAAATTACGTAACTTGAGCTTGGAAACTCAGAATGACCTGATTTTAGAACCTTTGGAAAGCTAGAGCAGAGCTACAACTTTTATGTTTTAGGTTTTTCCTAATTCGGACTGGACAAGGGTGAAAACTTGGCTTGAAGTCGTAAACAGTACTTGGAAACTAGAAAAACGTGTTTAGATGTGCTTCAGTATTTCTATCATAACTTGAGTTGTAGACCTCAGATTGTGCTGATTCTTGAACGAGTAGAAAGATAATTTAAAGGGCTACAATTCATATGTTTAACACTTTTCCATATTCAGACTCTTTCATGCTCAAAATTGGCCCGAACGATTTCTCACCACGGCAAGAAAGCTTCACTCGCGCGAAACTGCGCCAGATGTGAAAAAAAAAACGACACGTTTTGGCTTGCTAGGCTTTGTCCTTAAGTGAAAAGAGTATAAATTAGCATGAAAATGAAAGAAAAAGGTCTTGGTTCGTCATTTGGAAGACAGTTCTTGGAAGGAGAAGATTATTGAAGATTTAGGCTTCAATTAGAGAAGATTTCTCCATCTTTTGCTTGTTTTTCAATGATGAATCTTGACTCAGTTTTTTTGTTATTTTTTGTTTGTTTTTCAGTAAGACTGAGTTGTTTAGCTAGGTTTGATGTAACATTTATACAATAATTCAATTATATGAATTGATTACTTTTAGTTTTATTTCATGATGAGTGTTTATCTCTTTGCTTAATGACTTTTGGATGTTTGATCATTCAAATGTGTTTTACACAATAAGACTGAGAAGTGATTTGTGATTGTGTCTCTTGAGATAAATACCGAGATTAAGCAACGCTAGGATAGTTTTACAATTTATGAAATCTAGATAGAATTTCTAAAGCTTAAAAAATTTTGAACTATTAATCTTCATTTTGTTGTGCGGAAGCTTAATAAGTAAGTAGGAAATATAGTATGAGAATGTATGTTTTACAACTTGGGAATTCCTTTCAATCAAGGAATTAGAACTTGGGTAATAGATCTATGTTCGGGTTAGGTGTATCTAGGTGAAATCAACACCCTAGCTTTTTTTTTAGCATTTTGTTTAATTAGTTAAGTTGTTGTGTTTTGCTTTAATTTCATATCATTCATTTATATTTTCTTAAATTGTATTTAGTTCGTTAATTTTTATCAATCCAATTTATTGTGCTTCAATAAGACTTAAATTAGAGAAATCGGCACTTAGTAACACTCCTCGTGGGAACGATATTCTATTAATCATTTTACTACTTTTGCGACTAGTGCACTTATTACATTTGCAGTTTGTTCAAAATACGCATCAGTAAACTCTTTTGATTATATGGATTTAATGGATCATTAGATTCTCATGGTTTTTTTTATCTCTTTACATTAAGAGGTTTTTCCACGTAACAATTTTCTTGTGTTTCCTTGTGAATTAGATATTATTTCTTATATTTTCACTAGTTGATTGGTAAACAATGGCGGAGCGAAGGGCCCCCCCTGGACAAAAATCCTGGGTCCGCCACTGTTGTATAGTGGATTAGTTTTTTGATACATGGCTTTTGAGATTTGTTTGCTTAGTTGTTACTTGAATAAATAAAAGAATAAAAAGAATAACCTTACAGGAATAAGATGTCTTCTTGTCAAATACGGCAATTTCGACGGTGGTAGAAGGTAAGTCGGAAGGGATGGTATTGGTGTTGTGGACCGGCGGTGGCTAAGTGAAAGTTTGAAATATGAGAGGAAGAGAAAATAGATCAAACTTATTTTCAGACGAAAGAGAGATGTTTTTGTAAGAGAGGAGATATAATGTTAGAGAGAAAAGGTTTTCACAAGAGACGAAGTGTCAGAAAAGGTAAGAGAAAGTAAAAAAGAAATGTCTTCTTTTAATACGAAAAATGATTATAAAAAAAAATATTACATTCACATTCTCTTTTTATAGATTTTTAAAAATTCTGAAAAAAAAATTAATGACTGATGTTTTGCTTTTGAGAGAGAAAGTGTGAATTGCTATTTACTGGTGTAATTGCACGTGGATATTAGAGAGAGATTAAAATTAATTTTTAAAAACTTTTATATATATGATAAGTGGACTGTTCAGTTATTAAGATTTTCTATGTTTTTTCAATGATTGTTTGTTTCAAAATCAGCAGCAAAAAAATTAATCTCCACGTGGATAATTAGAGAAGATTAAAATTAATTTACGCATTAACTATATTTACTGAAGAGTTTAAAAATTGATGACTGATGCTTTTGTTATTTGAGAGAGGAATTGTGAATTGCAACTTTATTATATATGTTGAGAGATATGTCACCGTTTAGCTTAAAGGGGGATGTTAGAGTTATAAGCTAAGTCTGTTAGTCAAGCCGTTAAGTAACTGTATATTAGTTACAGTTACTGTTAATCTTCCGTTAGTCTTCTGTATAAAACACTGTACACTCATCTCTCACTTGATAAACTGAACCGATATTTTCCAGAAAACTCCAGCTCTGGACTTCTCTTTTTTTCTCTGCTTTAGCTCAAAGTCACTATTTTTATACAATTATTAAAAGTTTAATGGGGTCAAGATGTCAGTTAGTGCTTTAACAGCTATGATATTTTGTTATTTTCTATCTTTTACAAAAGCTGGACCTGCTTTTCCTTATCCATTCATCAACCATTCCCACTTGTGCAAAGCCTAAGTGAGGTGTAGACTGCAATTTTGCATCTTTACTAAACCCAAGAAATTTTGAAGTAGCTTCTGTATTTCTAATTGTTTCCTCTGCTGCTTTATAACGTCGTCAACTCGTCATATTCATAATCGTCTTGGCAGGCTATCACATTTGGTTTTAGGGTAACACTAGATATCAAGTAATTTATTTATATATTTGTGTTTGTCTGTATATTGATATTATTACTGCTACTCCATCTTCACCGCTAAGTCTCCTTTACCTTTATCATTCTTATTTAAACATGGTTCCGAAGCCCAAAATAAGAACAAAACAGAGTTACAAACAGATAAAACATCAGACTTAAAAGTAAACGAAACATTTGGTTTTGTTTGGATCAATAGAAAATACTCAAAGAAGTTAATAAAAACTGATGACTTTTCAAATAATTAATTACAAGTTAAAATTGATGATTCATGCTGTTAAGTTCATAATTAGTTTCTATTGTTAAATTTATATTACTTGAGAATCAAACATGATAATTAAATAATATACCAAATTAATAAACAAAAATCTATAACTCCAATACAATAAACAAAAATCTATAAGTTTAACAGTACCTTTACCATTAGAAACTATTTTTGTGGTGATCTCAGTATAATATTCACGGCTTTGGAATTTTAGATAAAGTTTAAGCAAGAAATAAAAAACGAAGAATTGTGAAAATTTATTTTAACGGGTAGCTAGGGAATAATGATTGTGGAGATCGATGATTTTCCATTCTCCAAAAGACAAGTAGCACTCACCATTAGTCTATTCAGAGAAGAAACATCATTAAGGGAGGGACAAATGAAAATGAGCCTTCCATGAAAGTACAGAAGAGGATACGTGCAGCGATTCTAAGAGAAGGTCGAAATTTGAGCTAACCAAAATCATCAACCCACTTTTTGGTAAAGAAGAAACGACAAGAAATGGGCGACAAAATTTAATCGTCTTTTCTTTACAAATCAGAAGGGCAAATCAAAACATAGATTAATGAGGTCTTCAGGCACTTTTTCCTATAGTATTGCGCAGAGAATATTCCTCGATTGGCCATGCTGGTCATTGCAGATTTTTTCTAAAATTTTTTTGGCTGCCAGCGAGAAACTCCATGATTTTATCTAATATTTTATCTAATCTAGCATCTCTTTCCAGCGATAAACTCTATGATTATGGGTAATTCACATTACACCACTAGAATGTAGACACATCTATTTCTTTTTAGGGACAATTAATTAACAATAGACCCCTTGAAAGTATTCCTAAAAATACTTTTATTTATTTTAATGGGTAATTATAGTATCCCCCTGCTTCAGTTTTTCTATCTCTTTTTATTTTAAAAAAATAAATAAATAATTAAATAAATAAAGCGATTAACCACTGAGCTAAAAATAATCATGTAACTATATAACAACCTAACATTATTTAATGTAACAGAAATAAAATATGAAAAAGATAATTTATTTAATATATTGAAAATTTCTGTAAAATTATTTTATATTTAAGAATATCAAATCTAATATATTTAAAGTAACATTTGACATATTAAATTTATCCGAATTAATGGATTATCAGACATTGATCTTGATTATGATGACAAAATTATACCCATGAGTATATTTTAGCTTTCTCCTCGGTTCTTTTTGTTAGGTCTCACGGAAGGGCTTCTTGTGACTACACTCGATGAATTCATCGTTGATTAGTTCCAAGATCCATAGAAAGAGTATGTATCTGAAATTAAGGAGTTTGTTATTGAACTTGGAAATTTCCTTAGCACACTTTTTATTCAAGCAAACAAAAGCTTGTTTGGAGACACCTTGAACAATAGTCGGTTGCACGTGTACTACCACCGAATAACCATTGTTAGTTATGTCAATATGCTTTTCTTTTTTTTCCGTTATATACATCTTCTATGAATCTAGGTACCAAAATATAAGTGGTAAAACCTCACGTTGGTTGAAACCGCGAGAAGAACGGCGCAAATTTTCTGAAAAAAGTAGAAGGTTTAATTTCATCTTCCCCCCAAGAGATGTGAAAGTATCCAACACAATATTTTTTAAAATGCCTAAGCTAGTTTTCGAATAATCATTATTTTTTTATGAATCATTTAAAAATCATTAAAATGCCTAAGCTAGTTTTCAAATTGTCCAACACAATATTTTTTTTTAAAGGTTATTTCATAATATAGGAAAATGTCTAATTTCTAGCTTATTCAATAACATAAATGAGGGCTTAATTAGTATAAATAGTATAAATGTGGATCGTATTGATGTATGGATTATGCCTTATAGAAACTTGGTTTTCATGGGGGCAATTTTTTAATTTGCGTTTTTGGCATAGGGGTATTATTGTAATCTTTAGTTAATATATATGTTTTATTTTACAGATTTGTGCAGAGTTGAACAAAGCTTCAACTTGGTGTGAACAAAACTTGAAACTCGAGAGATTGTGAGATGGAATGATGAAGATCTAAAAGGTGAGAACCTAAGATTATTTTACTTTGTTGATCTCTTTAACTTAGTGAAATCAAATACTGGCTTCTGTAGATCATAGCCATTTTTGACGAAAATCACATGAAATTGTCTTATGAATTATACTGTGGTTGTTGTTTCCTTGTTGGATAGTATTTTTATTGTCATTTGTATCACTTTGGCTTATTAAGTTCTATCAAAATAGGTTTTGGGGGTATTCTTTCGGTCTGTCCACAAAGTATTCGACAAAAGTTCTAAATGAGCACAAGTGATGACAGTTCTCTATTACTTCATGATCTCACCTGCAACATCCTGTATGAACATATTTGTCTAAACATTTTGTATGTGTAATTTCATTCTTATTGTTATAGTATTGGAGTAGGGTCACCACTGCAATTCCCATCATTGATGTTAGGTTGTCGTTCCAATGCAGGAATTGGGCTTGTAGGTTGAACATTTACACCCAAGTCACCACCATAATACTATAATAGTGTTAAGTTATCATTATACCTAAACGCCTATATTTAGTTCAATAAGCCCGTTCACATGAAATTTTGATTTTTCTTTTTGATCCAGTTGAAATATGGAGTTTTGAACTCATGACCTTTGAAAAATATGGGCATCTTCATGTTTATCAAAATCTTCATAATAACAAAGATCAGTCGCTATATGCCAAACGAGAAGGCTGTGATCCAATTCCACCTCGTTAATGCACCAATTAAATTCTTCAAAATTATACCTTTCTTGAAGCACATAATCACCTCTTTGATGCAATATTTTCTCAAGTGAACGAATGTGGCAAAAATGATCATCATGTAGTTTATATTTGTTGATTTTCTGTGAGAGCTCCTTGAAAATCATCTTTTGTATTTGAACACTCACATCTTCCCAGCTTAAATTCGGATGAATCGTTAACTGTTTCCCGATGAAGAAGAAATTCTGGACCCTCATATATTTGGCTGACTGCTCTTTGAAGCAACAACTTAAAAAATTGAATTGTCCCATGACCTTCGACCACCTCCTGCTATTGCCAGAAACTGAGATTGGTTGTGCTTTCTTTTTTCTAGTTAAACGAATAAATGTTGCCCAATCAGTTGAATAAAGTTCGATGGCGGCAAGAATCTCAAGAAGAAAAGCCACAACCGGAAGTAAGACAGTTATGACCTTGTCAACCAGAAAGAAATCATAAATTTGAATGTGAAGGAGGAACATAAGTAATGAGAAAGAGGAGCAACGGAGAAAGATTCCTGATCGAGAATAGGCAACAATCGCCCTCGTGTAGAGAAAATCATACATGATCCTAAGCTCAATTGCTACCAAATTGAAAGCATCTTCAGCCAACTTTCCGCTAAAAATATTTTTTTTAGTATTAATTTACTAAAAAGGGTTTTAATATACAAGAAAGAGTTAAATCTAACCTATAAAATAGAATATCTTATTCAAGACTATAAATATCTTATTTAATATATAGAGGAATATTACATGTGAGATACTATCAAAC